GACATCACAAAGAGAGAGATCCACTTTCTGAAATAAGCACTGTAATTTCACCTATGATATCTTTTTATTTGGCATCATCAAGGCTTTTATTCAATTTTTTTCTTTTTGCTAGGACTTCCTCTTGGATCACAGGGGCAATGAAGACCAGAGAAACAAGATGGCCTCTGCCCTCAACTGACATTAAAGATAAACTTTTGCAAAGAATATCACCTATAAAAATATTGAATTTATAATGCAGAAGTCCCTCACAGACATTTCAGTTTTCCCCAGTGTAACAGAGGAGAGGGTGAACACTCCTTACCTGGCTGTAGGTCCAGCTCCACAAACGTTTTCTCTCAAGGCTGGTTCATCCTTGAACAGACTGCAGAGCAATTGCTAATTCTTCTGGGTGCACAGCCTGGTCTTCTGCATCACAAGATGTTCTGTGCTGCAAGGAGCTCCTTCAGAAGCTGTTTTGCAGGACTGAGCATATGTAAGGCTTTGATGAGCACCAAGCCAGGACCAGGGTTGCTGGTCCTGCAGTGATTATAACTAGCAGGTCTTTAGAACACTCTCTGCCTGGTAAAACTGTCCTCTTGGTGACCATCTCCACAGCTTCTGCAGGATGTTTGCACACCAGTATGAACTATGCTTTTCCAGAACTTCTTGCTGCAGTCACATCTGAGCTTTAACTAACATGCTCCACTGCCCACCTAACAAAACCCTTTTGGAGCCATCTCTTCCAAGAGTTTTTGAGTGGAGTCACAAAGGAAGTAGAGCACAGAAGAAACACAGAACAAAGGGCAGAACCCCCATGTGAACATGTGGACAAACCCTATATCATCACATGGGGTGGGGGAGAGGAGAGAGAAGTTAGAGCACACGTGCCTTGGGACCTGCAAGGTGATACAACAGCATTATCACATCCAATACCCAGGCACTGAACACATCCTGACTGCAGAGTAAAGACATCCAAACCTGGAATGAAGCAAAAGGGCTTTGTCACACCTCCCAGACAGTGAAGAAAACTCCATCAATGTACATATGACATAAGGCTCCTCTGACAGACTGCAACTCAGTTTGGGCTGGTAGGCTCACTGGTACACATCCATGTGCTCTCTGCAACTCATTAAGCTGTTTTGTTCATAATTAAGCCCATCACCCTCTTAACAGCCCTTTTTCCCGGGCAACTTATAAATATTTACACTGCTTGTGAATATTTCACAGAAACTTTTAATATAGTCCAGTATTTTTGTTATATGTGCAATATTTTACTACACAATCAAAATCAAATCATTAAATATACCTATACCTATTAAAACACAATAAGAAATTAATCTTGTGAAGCCTTGATATTGCTTTAACTTTTTACAGCTAACTCCTCATCAATTAAGAAAAGGTTTGGATAATGAATGTGTGATATATCCACGTTAAATCTGAGGTCTTGCTACCAGTGATCACGTAACAAGGCAGCTCTAGGAAAAGGAGGAACCACATAAAGTATACATCAGGTGCACATGTGTGGAAACACAATTAAAGAGCCATGCATTCCTGGTTATGCAAATGAGAACAGCAGTTCCTTTACAGTTAAAAGCCCATTCCTGCTGCAGATAATGGGCATTTTGCCACTGGCTTTGAGAGAACCAGGACCTTACTCCAGAGTTTAATCAAGATCTGCTTGAAGTTAGTGGAAAAGTCCCATGGGAAAACAGTGGACTGCCACATCACTCTGCAGAACTGCACTGTTCTTTATAATATTAGCAACTTTTGAACAGTTTGGCAAAAGTTGTTGGTCTGCTGCTAAAAGTACTGTTGCAGTTACAGTTTCCCTTTTATTGCACTTTTCAGTATCATTTTACACCAGAGACTCTGTGTGTGTGTGCAGGGCATAGATGGCAACCCTGTTTGAAGCATGGCACAGGAAAAGATGCGATATAAAATAAGACTTGGAGAAAAATATTTCAAGCGCAAAAAGACGCTTGTTTACCTTAAATTCAGCATGACTTCTCATGCAATCAATCATTCCTATGGAATATCTGACACACAGATAATATGCTACACTCTGCCTTTATGAATAAGGGTTTATGTCAGACATAAGGAGCTTCAGAGCTGCCAAGCAGCAAGTGCAACACCAGTCACACGGGTGGCACAGCCATAGAGCAGACTGACATAAATATCTTTTCAGAGAAGGAAAAATGGAAGAATCATCCGTTCTAAATGAGGAATTAAGCCCTATTAGTCCATCCTTCCCACACCTGAACACCTCCCACATTTTGGCCAGAGATGAAATTAGATGAAACAGTGACACTGTCTTCAGTGTAGAAAGCGCTGAGGAAAATAAACACCAACACCACCATTGCAGAACAGAAAACAAAATCACCCTGCCTAGCTTTCCACCAATCCCAGAGCCCAAACAAAGTCATATACCACCTGCTTTACTGAACTTCATATCTGCATCAACGAGATGCAGACTGGAAGTGATGGCAATGGGATGCTCCAGCTTGGTGACTTCTCCATGCTTGACAAACACAACCAGACAAGGGCAATAGAGCACGATGTCAAGAGTGAGCCCACTTAAATGCAAAAAGAGAACAACCTATTTGTTCACTGCAGTCTTGTCTGCAGAGCAGAATGCATGTATCCTTCTCTGAGTTCCTTCTTTTTTTTTCCCCTAATGTCAGCAATACCCTGCTGTGCTTGTCATGAGGCTTGAATGAGGCCCACCAACACATTCCTGAGCAAAGAGATGGTATAGAGATGAATATGCTCCAGTGCAGAACCCAGAAGTTTCTAAATCTTTTGACAGCAGAGACAGAATACACCTGGTCAAGCTATAGCTTGAGGGATGCAAAAGCAGAGTCTACAATGCAACATGGGAGTCTGTGCACATCTCTTCACTCCTATCACATATCCATGACAGGACAGTCTGCCTGACAGAGGTAAAGGGACACAGGGAATGGATAGGAGAAACTACATGATCATGATGTACAATCAGGACAGTGCAAGAAAAAAAACTTTTCCTTCAGTTTTTGTCTCTCACTCTACTTTGATAACATGCTACTGAAATGTCCCTTTTCCAGCCCTAAAACCTGTCCTTTCAGTGCCTGTCACGTCAGCATGCTGACAGGATAATTAGGATTTATAGCAGTTCTGCACAAGAATTCTCTGCTGTGGGAGAAAAAGCCAGAAGAAATGTGCAAAGTTAATCCTCTTCTAATTACTCCAGAAATCTGCATGTTAACGTGGTACCATTAAGATTGCAAAGTAATTAAACTGTGCAAACATCTGCAAGAAGGAGTAAAATTTGCACAGTTGGAACGTGCTTTGACTGCAAGGATTTGAGTAGCCCCAGCAAAGGACTGTGCTGCTGATGTTCTGTGCCAGAACTAAAAGCGTCAGTACAGACAAAGTTTTTGCTCTTTCTAACCATAGAAGCACAGAAAAGTGGGGTTGGCAAGGACCTCCCCTCATCAGTGTCTGCTGCAAGGCAGGACTGACACTGCTTATGTCACTCCTGGCAGACCACAGTCTAATCTGTTCTTAATGGCCTCAGATGGTGGAGACTACACAACCTACCCAGGCACTCAGAGATCTCTTCTTGGATCTGACTTGACTCTCTCCTACTGCACTTTAAATCTGTTACTCTTTACCCTCTGGCCCACACAGCAGTTTATTCCTCATATACTATTATTCACACACAATTACAAGCTATTATTGCACCTCTCTGCCCCAACATTTATTCTGCAGGGCAACCAATCCCATTTTTTCTTCAGAAGTGGTGTTATCTAGGTCTATGATTGTTCCACCCTTCCATGAACTTCCTCCCACTGTTTATTCTTGAAGTTCAGTGCCCAAACTGGACACTGTGTTACAGCTGAAATCTTTCCAACACCAGGGCTTGTCTTGTATGTTCTGTTTATTTACTCCAGTAAAACATTAGTATTTTCAAAATAGCTTGGCATTAATGACTATTATTCAGAGGATGAGTCACAATAAGCTCCACGTAGTTTTTCGAGGAACTACCAAAACTGCAAAACTGTCTTATAGTTATAAAGGTGTTCTCCCTGCCTAAGGATACTTCTCTGCCCTTGACTTAGTGACAATCCATCCTGCTTTTACTAGAACATTTCTTCACCCTGTCAGCATAATTCATGATTCTGAATTCTACTCTTGTCTCCAAAAGTTTTAGCAGCCCTTTCCATCTTTATGTCATCTAAAAACCCAACACTCATTGTCTGTTCCACCAAGGTCACTAATGGCAATAATGATGAAAAGCAGACCAACCCCTCCCACACTTCAATATAACTTTGCATTAGAATGATGGATTAGTGATAACTGCTACTTGGTATGGCAAGCCAATCAGTTTTGCATTGACTTCATGGTGGTTTCACTGAAGAAATGCTTCCCTTGTTTTTTTATGAAACCGTCATACACATTAATGCCAAAAACGTGACTAGAAGTCAAGCTGTTCGGCCTCCATTGTGTCTCCCCCAGCTACACAACTTGCTACTCAGTTCTAGAAAGATATTTTCAAGTTTTAAAAAGTCACATTGGCTGCAACTGAACTCCTTGGTCTCCTTCAGGTACTTAAATATAATTTTTTTGTCCCAGTTTTTCAAAGAACAAAATAATTTACCTGTAATTCTCTTTTACCTCTTTACAGATATGCTTTTTTTCCCCCTCTCTTTCAGCACTTGACCTATCTTCCCCGAGTTCTCAGAAGTAATGACAAATGCTTCTGAGAATGCTTTAGCCAATTCTTTAAGTAATATAGAATAAAGTTCATCAGCCACAGCTGATTTGAAAATTTTACATGTGTCTGAATACATTCTAACACCTTTTCTTGTCCTTTTTTAGCTTGTGATTTTACCCTCTCTCATAATACCAAAAATGCTTTTGAGGGTGCAGCTAGTATGACTCAAATGCATCAGTGAGAGTAGTTTCAATTCCTGAGTTAAAATTTAATTTAATTTCTTGTCCTCAGACCAAGATATTCCTTTAAATCATAAAGCACCTCATACCTTCGTTCATTGTCATCAAGATGAGCAAAGAGCACATTCTTGGAGATGGCCTTTGCCAGAGCAGTCATAGTTTTATAGTCCTTTGGAATAACCTGTGGAGAAAAGAATGAAGGGTAATTACATACCTGGTTGTATTTCTTCATAGATAGTGAAATGCATTGAAAATTCCATTTTTCAAGGAAATGGATGCAATTTGATTTCAAATACTGAGATAGGATGAGGCTATAATATAAAGCTACTAAGAAAGTAATGAATTACAGTTTTGATAATGCGAGCATAAGGATTTATGTTCTTAGAATGACACCAAGAAATATAAGATCAGAGATGAGTGGGGAGAAGGATATACAAAAAATACTATAATTAGCAGGTACTGGCAGCTGTGTAGTCTCCTTTCAAATCTCTTGGACTAAGGAAAACATATTTCATATTGGTTTCCCCCCCCAACAATATCAGAAGCAACCTAATTCTAAAATTAGGGAATTAGCAACATTTCTTTAGGTAAAAGGTAAAAGTGATGTAGAACCAGTTCTCACAAAGAATTATCTACATTTATTTCACAGGGAAATACTGTACTGTGAAGATCTGAAGTTAAACTCTGGCTTCAGACATTATTTGTATTGACTGCTGTAGTCATTAGACTACTCAAATTAAGTCTAGAGGAGTATATATGTATATACTGCATGGTTGTATCAGAGTGATATGTAATCTAATTTATCTAAAAGCTTAAATTCCTCAGTGTTAAACAAGCATTTGGCCAGTATGTTATTCTTGGTTTTTACCCTATCAAATGAACATTGGATTGAATTGCAGTCCTGAACTCTTGCTCTATTAAGAAAGAATATCCAAGCTGTTCAGTTTACTGCTGATGAGCCAAAATGGTAGATAATCAAATCACTAAGACATTCAACTCCAACCTTTCTGGCTGATTCTGAAATACCACAGACTAGCCTTTCTCAGTGTAAATTTGCAGCAATGAAAGCCACAAGGCTTTGTGGGTCTGTTGGGGCAGGGACACAGAAAACAGGGGAGAGATTCTTGAGATGTAACCAGGCATCTGACCAAAATCCAGCACTGGGAAGAATCACTCAACCATTTCTTACATCACTCTTCCAAGTAATACTGAATCTTCTCTTCAAGCTGATAACTCTCTTTAGAGCAAGATTCCTGTTCTGTTAGTTGTTAATTATGTTATGCCAGATGTGTTGACAAATACTGCTTTCTCTAGTTCAGGAATGAAGCAACGAAATAACCCTCCGCAGGGATCTTCCTCGGTGCTCCTCTGAATGGAGCCATGCCACGTGCTTGCTCAAACCACAGAGTTAAATCTCTTTTGATTTTCTCTCCAGCAACTTAACTCACTGCCTTGCCTTTAGCACTACTCATTCCATAGCTCACCCCTTCAGGGGAACCTTCGAATTGGCTTATGACCCAGATGTGTTTCTGTCCAACACCTGAATTCAAGTCAGAGGTTTTTCCTGACTACTATCTAAAATTCTATCTGTTTCCAATAGTCTAACACAACCTCTGCCTTGCTTTTTACCCTTTAAGATTTCATAATTTGTCCTTTCAGTGTCTACCTTTATTTCTGTATTCTAGAAATCTCTGTTAAAAACACACATCCATGGGATTCACCATGGGATTCATTTGCTTATGGCAGAAGACAAAGCACTGGCACAAACCCTTTCAATGCTAGTTCCATATTCCTTGTAGCATCTGTGGCTTTATAAGAAATCGTCCCCTAAATTATTATTATTTAAGCTCAGTCAGTTCCTAGGATATTAAAATCATAACCACCTTAATCATAGAACACACAGAACATGATTTGTATTGCTGCTTCTGGTTCTTGCATACCCTTGCTACTGTCTGGACTTAATGGCATCACAGTCAAAAAATGAAGAAAACAAAGTTAACTTCAGGTTCCATTAGAAACATAAAAGAATTACTCAGAGGGTAGGGAGGAATATTTCTTTTGATTTTCAGAAGAGTCAGATGGAACCCATAATAAGCTCAAACAAATGTGATCTCTTCATGGAGGTTTTTTAGGGGGGGGTATTGCAAACTGCACAGAAAGAAGTGTTTGGAAGTGGTTTTTGAAGTATCATGCAAGTTTTTTAACAGTGCAGGGCATTAATAGCCTGACCACAGTGCTGTTGAAATTTACTGTATACATACAAGAATTATTTAACTGCCACAGGAATACTCCTCCATACTTGTTTTAAGGATGACTGGCTCTCCTAATTCTTTGTTTCTTGGGACAGAAGTGCCCAGAGCAGCCAGTGAACTTGTATCATAAGTGGATGACAAAAGCACATCTGACTACAAAGGCAAAAGGTATTCTGCCAAGAAATAGTGACTGACAAAATGTATTCCCATAAAGAAAAAGCTCTTTGAGTTAAAGCTACTCCAGGCGTGCACAAAAGCACATTAGTAGCATCTGTCAACCTTATGAAATATATTTTGAGCCTGGTTCCCTAAACAAACATGACATATGCTATTGTAACATCTCTCTTTTAATAACCTTTGAAAGCTTTAGACAGCTTCAAACTATTTTGCAGAGTTATTAAGAGATCTCAAAGCTACAACATAGCTAGATACTTTTGTGAAAAAGGCAGTTAAAAAAAATAGAAGCCCAAATTAGAGCTCCTAGTGAAGAAATTACCTCATTTGGGACTGGCATTCCTTCAAAGACAACGGTCACATAAAATTGCCCAAGTATGGTCAACAGATTTCCAAAATCTGGTTAGGTGGTAGACAATCAACACGGAGAACCATACTGAGGAAACCTAAATGACTTTGGTTAGAAGAAAACTTGAGGTAGAATTGCCTTTTTGGGGGAAAAAAAAAAAAGGCAGGAAATGCAGCAATAAAAAAGCTGCTCTCCAAAAGTGTGAGGTTCTGACCAAACTCAAAGATGCTGAAGTCAGCGATTATCAAGAAAACAGCTGAGACATACTGATGCTGTTAGTTGGGGAAACAGATGAGCAGCACATCTCAAAAAGGAAGGAACAGAAAATGCTGGAGCCCATTGATGGTGAAAGCACTTAGTCAAAGATGCAGCAAAAGAACTTCAGCTTGAAGATGGTCAAGCCATGCCCATGACAGAGTGAGAACACACCCTACAGGCTGACCCGTGAGTCCAAATTATGAGCAAAATCTGAGCCATTGAACTGTGCTGTACCTCTCAGAATCAGAGATTTGGTGACACATTACCTTTCTGACGTAAGAAACAGCATCTTCCTCAGTGTACACTTCTGCACTGACCCCCCCTCTCCTGCGCCGGGCTTTGACCACTGGATTGGGAGGAGGAGGGGAAATCTCATCATCATGAGAGTCAGACTGGGAGCTGGATTTCTGCCGAGCCAGTATTTGTTTGCATTCCTCCTGCAAGGCAAAAAGAGACAATAAAACATCTCTTACCCATGTAGCTCCCTTGTTGGATATACTCAATTCACTCTTCTTTTATGACCATCAGCAAGCCCTTCACTTCTACGTTTGGATGACTGTCAATTTACACATGTGTACTGCTGGAGGAAAATGAGAAATTCCATGTGAGCAGCATTAACTACAGTGTGTGTACAGGCATCATCACTCCAGTACTTGACCTGTTCAACTCTTTCTTACACATAATGGAAACCAATGTATATAAACTGCAGGCATATTTTGCAGCTACTCCTGGCTGAGAAAACAAAACAACAAGCCTTTTTTGCTTACTCTCCAACAGCACAGCTGTTATTTTCTCAGTCGGCTTGTGCATATCTTTGTCTCTTGTACAGATAACGTATCAGAAGTCACACCCCAATATATTAGGTAGGTTTTTTCATCTTGCTCTGCTTTGCAAGTTTACTATCACCAGAAACAACAAAGATGCTCCCTACTCCAGAATTTCTGCCATATAACAGATTTACAATCAATGGGGTTACTTCCAAGCAAATAAGATCCAAGGTAGGCTCCAGGGGGCTATGAAAAATGATGGCTGGCCTAGCACCAGCTGGCCAATAGGGAGGTTATTCTCCAAATTTCATGCTCATGGAACGGGCAATAAAATAGGAAGGGGAATCCCTGTACAGAGAGTAACAAGAGCAGGAAACAGTATAGAAAATCTCCAATAAAGGACATCAGAGTTGCAAGACTTTGTCAATTCATATGCTGCATTTGACTTCTAAAGAAGTGAGACAAACAAGATTACCCATAATTATAGCATTGTCCCAGAGCCCCATGTTCTACCCCTCAGCTTCCTGGGATCGAGGGAAAGGAGTAAAATTCCCTTTGCATCTGCCAGACAAAGGAGCAGGGGCCTGTGTGCTCAGACCCAGTCCACCTTCTCACCCCCTGGTGCCCCCTCAGCCTGACATCCTGCCCACAACACACCACAACAAACTGCCTTCACTGCTTCATCAGTGCCTTTTTGGTTGGTTCATTCAAGTCTTGGCTGATCCTCCCTAAAGTCAGAGGAGAACTGGAGATGGGATGGACCATATGTTCTGTTCTCAGCTTGTCTGATACAGGAAAGTAAAGGGCACATGAAGGAGACACACAAGCACTGTAAGAAGGCTCTCTGGTGCAGCAGCAGCCCAGTATTTTATTTGCTGTCATCTCCTACATAGCTGTAGGCAAAACCCACACCCTGATAGCCTCAGTGTTATGTTGATTGATGTACAAGTATCCACTTATCATCCAATGGCTCCCTGAGCAACTCCAACACAGCTCAGACAATTCAGATCAGCAGCATTGCAGGCTACCCAAAAGAAAACACAGCAATGCTCAGCTCCCTGTACACCCCATAAACCAACATTCCTTCAACAGGGGTGCCAGAACCTGGTCCCCATCTCACACAGCTAATTTCCAGTGAGACTTTCCAATCAGAGCTAAGATATGGAGTCCGTGGAGGAGGGAGCATCTGGGAGCACCAGCACTACACAAGTGGCAGATTATCAACACAGCCAGTTGGTCTCACTGACAGAGGAAATGAGTTATCAGTAACTCATCAGGTATGAGACCAGAAAACTGGCACAAGCTCACAATTTTTAAGCTTGCAAGAAAAACGGATGATTAATATATGTTTTACCATTGATGTTTACAAATGTCTGACAAATCCAGATATGCCACTTGTCTTTTCTGGTCTTATTCCACTTTCTTTCCTGACCATCACCTACATTGTCCCTCTCATTAACCTAAGGAGCCTTTGACACCAGCCTTTGATGCACTATTTCTACTTGCATTAAATAACTGAACAGTATTTCCCATGCAGCATGACTCAAAGTAACAAGTCACACATTCTTGTTTTGAACAAGGGACCACTAAAATATTTAGGAGACAAGCTCAGAGATAAAAGGTAGAGGGCTGGCTAAAGCTCTGACTTTTCAAGATCCTGACCTGCCTCAAAAAGTGCCAAGTTCTCTCTGAGATCAGCTGAGGTTTTTTAAATTGGGATTATAACATAACTCCCAGACCATAACACAATTAAGTGCTGTAAGCAGAAAAAAAAAAAAAATCCCAAGAAAAAAACTTGCCTTCCTATGTATTAAATCTTTACTGAAACTTTTTCATTTTACATTCAAATTTCAAATAGCAGCACTAGATATGTAAAAAATGACTCATCTAGATTTTTCCTATCATGTAAGAACTGCAGGTCCTACTTAAACATTCTATTAACTTCTTCCCTGCACCTCTCTGACTGCCTCTTCTTAACTACAGTCAGACACTTGTAGAAACACAAATATTTCAAAAAGAAACGTGTGCTATATATTATCATTGTATTTCATTTATCTCATGACTCAAAATGAAAGTTACGGCTGAAGAATTTCAAATAACATTGCTGACTATTGTAGCTCTGACAGTGTTAACATTTTCTCTATGTTAAAGGAACACAATCAAATGCACCTTAGTCATAGGCTTAACTGAAAGGTAATGAAGACCTTTCTGAACAGTAGCAGCTGAAAGTACACTAAAAGGTTAAGTACAACAAGAGGGCAGTCAGTTAACTAATGGTATGCAGCACTCACATAGTTCTTTTTATACACAGTATATTTACTCAGAGAGGAGGGTAGTAGTTTGCCCCATTTGAATATCAAATACACACTTCTTTTTCAGTACACATTGCATAAAAGGCACTTCCAAGGAATTAATAAATAATACCCCCTCTGCCCCAGCACAGATTTATACACAAAAGAAAGCTCAGTGAGATAAAATTAATACTACAAAGCATGCTCTTAAACTTAAATACTTTTAGAAGCCCAAAAAGATATTAAAGGATTATAAAAGTGAGTTACTGTGTGATTCATTTCAAAAGGAAGTCTCTTCACTACAAACTCCTTTTACACAAACAGCAGACAGTTGACTGGCTGGCTTTTCCATACGCCGCTATTTGGAGTCTAGGTGGGATCCCCATTCCTGAACTAAAGCATGCCTTTTGGAAATAAAAGTATGTGCTCTGTCCTGGGTTAAGCTTTCAGAGAGCCGTCTTCCATATATCCTGGGGAAAAACTGCACAGATGCAGCCAATATTTTAAAGGAGGAATCAACTGGGTGAAGAACAGTTCTTCGAACACGGATCTTCAGACGCGGCTCGATGTGAATCCTTGTGTGGAACTCAATTTCAAGTAAACACCTCATCATCTTTTGTTGTCATGACAACAAGTGATATCTCCCTCTCTCTGTCTTGTGATGGCACTGATAACTCACAACCATATCGCCCAATTATGTCCACCTTAAAATGAGAAAGCACATGGAAAGACACAACTGCAAGACAGTGTAATTGCCTTTGACCAAGTCCCTCTGAGCATTTTGTTCCCTTCACACCAGTGCCTTCCCTGGCTTCAGTGGAGAAGCTCCTGACTTGTAGGGTCTGATCCAGACTGTGGTCCAGTGCCATTCTGGGTGACCTTGCTTGGATTTCAGCTGCAGCTGAGGACACAAGTCTCACGCTGTCCTGTGTCACATCTGTCAGCCCCAGTGGATATGTCATATATTTTAGGGAGCCTTAAGTGGCAGTAGGGGACCAGGTGTGCACCACTGACTGAAGCCCCCAGTGTCACTGCCACAGCCCAACATACCCCAAACCTATAAACCAATGCTGCTGTGTTGCAATAACTGTATTTCATGTATCTGTAATTTAATCCCACTTCTGTTCAAACCATGTCACCAGTGACCAAAAACCTAGCTACAGCTGTGAAAAGTCTTTCCTATATGACTTCTTTTCCCCCCTCAAGCACACTCATAAAGTTTTCTGACTGACAGACATGGATTATCCACAGAAAATGTGCAGGATGTGCAGTTCATGCACAGGTAACTAATTTCTCTTTGCACTGGAACTGACCCAGAGGAAATGCTCTCAATCCAGGAAGGTTTCTAACACCCACCTACCACTCCTGGAGACTGACATGATGATTTATAGCAACCAATAAAGGCCAAAGGCAAACCACTTCACTTTGCTGGAAGCACAGGACTGACTGATGCCATTACTGAAAGCAGGAGAAATTTGGGAGGTCTTAATGTCCTTTCCAGTCTTATCTTTGCCACAACAGACAATCTGTATGATCATTCAGCCTTGTCATCAGAGATTATTCACACAATCCCAACTATTTTTCCACTGTCTTCCCCACAGGATGTGCTGCCTTTTCCCCTACAGCATCTCTAAGAAATATCTTTAACATCCACTCCTCCCACTAATGTGTTTACCCACTCCATAGTTATCCACCACTTTGATTATTATTACTATATCCTCTGTGGCCTCTCTTCATCTCAGCTCATTCATAATTTCAAATCTAGACAAAATTCTCCTGCCAAAAATCCACCTACTCTATGACACTCACACTGCATCGCTGACCTTCTGCAGACCCTTTACTGGCATCCTTTTACCTCCTGCAATTTGTTAACACTTCTCATCTTTCCCCCTCCCCAGTGTCTCCAGTATCTCAACCCATCACCACCTCTTCCCTACTTTCTTACCCTCGCCTCACAGTAAAGAGAGGTCATGTTCCAGAACACAGACCCAGTTTTTGATACCTCTCACGCCCTGCCTGGGGCTGACTGCAGCAATCACAAAGGTCCCACCCGAGCTGATTTTCATCCAGCTCTTCCAAGTACTGATATCAGAGGAGAGGCAGGAGCAGAGGTTGCCCAAGCCTGCTCAGAAACGCAGTCACACAGCAAGAGCAGATGGTGCTCCCATCACTGTGCTTCTCTCAGTTTCTCAGGTAGCTCAGGTATGTTCCCTCACGCTTTACCCTCATTTCTGACCACTGAGCAGATACCACCCAACTGCTTTGCAAGCCTTGAAAGACACTGAAGTATTTGTGTTATTAGTCTTCATGAAACTGCTTAGTTAATGCATTTTTTTAATATAGTTTTTCCTCCACAGGATTTTCTTTCCAATCCATAACCTCTCCCCAGCCTACCTGAAAGGAATGAGTTATAGTTAGCATCATCACCTGTACTTATAAGAGCAAATTTTATTGGCTTGGACAGGTTCTGGTGGAAATTACTGACTGAAAAATTTCCTCTTGGGACAAAATGTAAACACTGAGAGAGGACACTGTTGCAGAAGAAAAGCCTAATGCTCAAATTTTGGTGCCTTTGGTTCTGAAACTCTTTATGATAAATAAATACCGCGTATTTTACTAACAGTGAGTGACTCTGCGGTTTACTACACGCTTTCTTTTCGATGCCAGTTCACAGCAAACCCGTCACTCAAGCGCCGGGCTGCAGAACTGGCTGACGCCGCCAGGAGGAGCTACGTGGGGCAGCGCAATTTCTTTAATGACAGATGGTTCGGTCCAGGTTTTCCCAAAATTCTCTTTCCAGTGGTACCTTAAGACACGCCTGCATCCATAAAAACACTGCCAATCCACCGCAATCCAAGACAATAATTTTATTAGAGCAAGACAGTATTTCCTGTATCTACTGAAGGCAACAGAGGGGACTTGGAGAGAGCTCAGGTCCAGAAGGCACCAGCAAAGCCTGGCTCAGCCAGCACAGCCACTGCTCTGAAATACACTGCGTGCAAAATGGCTTCAGCAAAGCACTCAGCAATGCCTAAACATATCCTGCAGGTTCCTGCTGCCTCTCCTTGCTTTGTGCCATTTTCTTCATTAGTTCTATTCTTTATTCTATTTTTTTTTCCTTTTGAACAACAGTCGAGCTTAGCCTGGCAAGACAACTCCACCTTTGATCATATAATCATGGCACTAAACAGCCTGACACCAATTAAAGTTTTGCAGTATGGCTGAAAATACAAAGCTTTGCCTGTAACTTCTTAGTAATTAACAACTTCTACATAAGGTAAGAACCAGAGACAAAATATGGCTTCCTTGTTTTTTCTGCTATGCCTTCTTTAGTCCTCAAGTAAACAGGACCTAATAACAGCTCTTAAAATAATGCCACAGTTTCTTAGCTAACATCTATTCCCCCACTCTAAAAGAGCCAACTAATGCCCCAAAGGGAAGGGCTTTCCTCAACCCATCCACCAACATGAAATTCTATACAGTCACAGGGAAACATAAAACAAATAATATAAAGGAAACGTGACAGTTTTTAAAATCTCAAGTATCTAAACTGTTTTCAATTTTTTTCTGTGCTCAGGGGCATGTTACAGATTTTTACAAAGTAGCTGTTAATGTGATCAGAGTAGATGTCATCTTGAAGTCTGTAGGTCACAACATATGAAAACCAACTTGCAAACTTCAGTATATAGAAATATAGGCTGATTCCAAGCAATTACTGGCATCTTAAGACAAGCAGGTCCTGACAGTATTAAGTGAACTGAAAAATATCTATTAAAGTTCTCCTACAATTATTTTCAGAGTTTTCATGGGTTTTTTAATATTGTACTTGATACAAACAAGCTGCAAATTTAGAAAGCCATCAGGCATTTCTTTCTAACCTGGGCACTCTTCCAGCTGAAAGAGATGATCCTGAAATCAAATATCAAACCTCAATCCCCAGCGCTTTATTCCTAAGTATTTGTTCACGTTCTCACTCTACAGCCCTCTCAGACCATGTCCATACTGTGAAATAAAAGGGGCCCAGCCATGGACCTGAGCACCAGCCCAAGACAGTCCACATCCCCCAACCAGCAGCTCGTTCCCTGGTTCTGTTCTCAGCTGCTCCTACCAACCCCTGCCAAAACAAACCTGCTCCTAGACCTGTTAGACCTAAGAATTATGTTTGGGGCCAGTCAGTGTTGTGGGGTCAGGGGTTAGTCCCTGACCCATTCTAATTTAGCAGCACAGACGTGGGCTGAAGGCAATGGACCCAACTCTGATGTCATCAGAAGTGAGGTGAAAAGCATTTATAATCCTGTCTGATCTTGCATATCATAATAAATCTTGCTTTTATGAGTTGATTTTGTGAGATGGAGCTAAGAACAAGCAAAATGAAATACACTTTTTTTTTCAATTCACCTCTGAGGTAGCTCCAGTATATTGCTGTGGATCAAGCTCTTCATATTTTCCACGAGTTCCTTTTTTAACCACTCGAAAAATATCCTACACTTCATCTCCAAAGTGCCCACATGATTTTTTGACAGATAAACTGTTATTCTACTGCTCTCTTCAGTGGAACGTGTTGTCTGTTTTAATGAGTTTGGGAAAAAAGCCCAAAATACCACACTTGGGTGGAAAAACGCATGACTTTGTTTAGAAAATCATGCTTAAACCCAAAGATTTTCATTCCTCTCCCTGCATAGGATCAAAACTAAAGGTGCTAATAGCAAATTTGCCATATTGGTATTGCTCACTTACATATAAAAATCTAATTAACAATTTCTAAATTAACAATTCCATTATGATTCTTCAAAATAGCTGCATATGACAAGTGTATAAAAACAGGATAAAACTCACTGAAAGAATTTCTCTATCTTTACAAGCCTTCCTTCAACTGGTATTATGCAACCAACCAAGTCAAAATATTATTCTGCAGCAGAAAATCCTCCACAGTGCAGTTCATCCCAAGAAAGCCCTCAGAGATGGTTGGACAAGGAAGTCAAACTGTTGTAGGAACAAGAATTACAGTTCTGGAACCCTCCAGGAGCAGCCTAAAGCCTTCAGGCTCAGCAGGCTTAGCCCCCAGGCTGCTCTAGAGAGGCAGTGCCAGGATTGTTTCCTCCCACAGTAACTATGATATTCACTGCATTTGATGCCTTGAGACTCTCCTTCCATTTTGAGACAAGTGATATCCATCAGCTTCTGTGTTTGCATCCTGACTGATGTCCTACAGTGTTCTGGTATCCGCTGTTCTTTGGGAAATAATAGGAGATCAAATGAAAAAAATAGAGTATTTCTCAATGGTAGGAACTGCCTTCCTGCTTCAATTCTGTGTACTGTGTTTAGATCAATGAAGCCAAACTCCCCCAGTACAATTCCTCTAGCTATGGAGCATATTCCAAAATACTACAGCATATTTTAACTTCTTTTTTGTTTTCAAAAATGGTGCTTATCCTTCTTTTCAGGAAGTCCAAAACTGCACTCATTATGATGGATAATAACTCATAACATAATAAAGTAAATTCAACAGTTTTGACTCTCTTGAAATGGGTCTTGGCTGTCAGAATTTTAGAATATGCAGAATTAAGAGATTGCTTCTTTTTAATAATAAGCATTAGAATTAAAAACCATCTTGTACTTCCTACTCCTCTCTGATGTCACAAGCATTCTCACTGGGCTGCCACCACAATGGGTTCTTTTAAAACTACATGAATTTGGCATATACTCACCTATACAGAAATGTGTCTGAAAAGCAGACAGTGAGATGTTTAAAATGCTTTACATCACTGGTAATATACCAGCTTCATGTATTAGTCACTGTTTATTATTCTTCTTACTCTGTCCTTATAAAATTCTGCCTCTTGAAGGAAGAAACTACATAAAACTTATCTCTTAAACCTACAAACTTTAGATGTTTCCTTCAAAAAAAAGCAAATAATCCTCTTCTTAAACTAAGTATATGAATAAATTCTCTGGCAGGCTGAGGACTTGTATAGCCAACAACTTGCCCTGTGCTCCCATTTATTTCTGGATGAATCTCATCCCCAGGGAAAAGCTGTGCTCACAGAACATGCTCTTCCTGCAAAGACTCCCATAGGCTTTAGTAAGAATTTGTCTGGGAATGTTCTAAAATGTTTCCCTCTCTAAGGTGCTTAAGAAGACAGTCACAGTAAGTGAGGTCTCTCTGAATGCATCCCTTGTCAGAGAATCCTGGGATAAGTACTGCAGGTGGGAGAGAGCAGTGGAATTAAATAGCAAACTGTTTTAATGATTTTCAAAACTGGTTGGTTCCCTGATTTTGTTCAGTTTTAGAGGAAGGGAAAATCGCATCACCTGACACTAGAATAAACAGGGCACAACATGTTTCGCACCCACAAGAAGGTTCTTTCCACAGATGAAAGTCCAGGATACCACATATCACAACACAAAGTATGATCGTAACAATTTGGGTCATTTTTAACAAGTGCAGTTTGATGAGGAATTATAATATTGCACAGAAAATTCTAAACAATAGCCAATATTACATTAGACATCAGCAAATGAAGGGTTCGGTTTCTTTTCTTCTGACAGTCTACTTTTTCACAGTTTCACGATAATTTAAAATTTGAAAGAAAAAATGTACCAAAATATTGGAAACTCTTTAAACAATCTTTTTCAATTTAAAAATGGAAAATAGTAAGCCACCTGAAAATCACTGACCTTTTCTAATTTTTCAAAGTGTTCTCTGAGGAACTTCATGGGTCGGTCTGGTTTTGCTATGCAAAGGTTTACAATGCACTCTTTTAAAATCTGTTGGATGTTGTGTTTCTGAACATAGAGTTCACATCCCTTCAGGCTCTCATCTTCTTCCACATTGCAGGAAGCAGCAGCAGCCATCTTCAGGCTTGTAAACAGAAAACAGACCTAGGTAAGAAAATGGTGCAAGAAAGAGATAAGAGACAGTTCCCAAATTCTTTGTCAGAGAGATCTGAAGGAGCAAAGACATTTTTAACATTGCCTGTTGCCTATTCAAGAGCTATTGAATCTGAACGTTTTAATGTTCTAGGCTTGTATGTGGAAACGCTGAACTGTGCCATCTTTGTAAGATCAACATCCCAGTAGGTACAAAAACAAGATTTTAACTCCTAGACAGCGATCAATCTCCGAGGGAAAAAAAAAAAATCCAGTGCAATTAACCCTACGAGGCCAGGAGTTTCAAAGACAGCTGTTAAATGATGGCATAAAGCCTTGTTTTCCTATCCCCATGGGAACTGTCAGCAGAAGTCCAGCTTTCCCATACAGAGGGATTTTCGGGCAATTTCAGCATCTCCCCCTTTCCCAGTGAGCGACCCTTCCCGGCCCCGGGGAGGAGCGGGTAGAGCCCCCCAAAAAGGGAATTGAGCCCCCCAGAGGGAAGTGAACCTCCCAAGGGCAAGTTTGGTGACTGGGGGGAGAACAACCCCAAACCCCTCTTTATTTCCACCAGCGCGGATATGACCGCTCTGTTACGACCTCAAAACCTCGAGGGTGGCTTTACCCCGGCCCCAGCCGCCCCTGCCCTGGCCGGTGGGTCCCGGGGGGCGGCCGGGGCTGTGCGGGGCTGTGCGGGGCTGTGCGGGGCAGGCCGCGGGAAGCGCCCCGGGCCCGGCCGGGTGGTCCCCGCGGCAGCGCATCCCCCGCGCCCGGCGGGGCGGACCGGCCGCCCCTGCCCCTGCCCCTGCCCCTGCCCCGCCGCCGGGCCCCGGGAGCGCAGGGGCCGGTAAATACCTGGTGTCCGGAGCCGGCGGAGCGGAGGCGCCTCCTCTGTCCTTCCCGGAGCTGGAGGCGGAGGAAGGGACTCCCCCGCCGGTATCCGCACTGCAGCCGCCGCCTCCCCCGCTCCTGCCCGCCCGCCCGGGGCCGCGGGGCGCCGCGGGGACCCTCCTCCCGCTCCCGCACAAAGGCTCCGGCCCCGCCGCCGCCGCTCGCCCGCAGGAAGTGCCGCCGCCGTCACTCACGGGCGGGCGCGGCTTCGCCACCGCCTCCGCCGAGAGGCGGCACGGACCGCACCGACCCGCTCCGCACCGCACCGACCCGCTCCGCACCGCTCCGACGCGCTCTGCACCGCGCCGACCCGCTCTGCACTGCTCCAGACCGCACCGACCCGTTCTGCACCGACCCGACCCGCTCCGACCTGCTCTGCACCACTCCGGACCGCACCGACCTGCTTCGCTCCGCACCACACCGACCCGCTGTGTACCGACCCTCTCTGCACCTCTCCGCTCCACTCTGACCCATTCTGCACCGCTCCGACCCGCTCCGCTCCGAGCGGGCACACAGGGGGCATGGCAGGGCCTGGCCTGGCTGCCCCACACCGCCAGCCTGAGGCCAAACTGACCAGAGAGGTGCCCCTGGCCATGAAGTTCAGGCTGGCCACAATGGACACTGGTCTGGCCAGGAATGATGGGCCCGGCCACCAAGGACAACCTGTACGTGAAAGGTGGCCTGTCTATGGAGGACAGCTTGGCCATGAAGAACAACACTCTGGCCATGAAACATGGCCTGTCCGGGAAGGACGAGCCTGATTGCAAAGGACAACCTGGATGTGAAAGGTGTCCAGCCATGCAGGACAACTTGACCATGAAGGACAACAGTCTGCCACAAAGAACAACCAAGGTGTGAAAGGTGGCCAGAGTGTGAAGAACAGGCATGGCCATGAAGGACAACAGCCTGGTCATGAAATGTAGGCTGGCCAGGAAGGGTGGTCTGGCTACAGGGGACAGCCTGGCCATGAAAGGTGGCCTCAGCATGGAGGAGTATGGGCTGACCATGAAGGACAGCCTGGCCACAAAGGACAACAGCCTGGCCACGAAGGACAGGCTACAGAGCGGAGGCAGGAGCTTAACATGCGAGCCACCAGCCCTCCTACACCCACAGCTTGGGAAGCACTGGGAAGAGCAGCTCACCAGGTCCGTCCTTGGGTACTTAGAGCAAAGCCATCACACCCAGCAGCACCTCCATGCAAGGCCATGAGGAGGGTGGTCACAGCAGGGACGTGGCCATGGACCAGCACTTGCTGTCAGGAATACTCCAGTGCATGCCAGCATTTCCTCTGTTCCCAAGGAATTCACACTCGTGGTTCCCACAGAATAAAGGGTGAAAAAAAGACTTTGAAGGCTCACACTCAAGCTAGGAGCAGCATAACAAGAGAATAAACTCTGCTGGCAAACACAGGGCTTTTACAGAAGAGTAATTTTAATTAGTTCTGTAGTTTGTTGTATTTTAAATTCAGTATGATCGCTCAAGAAAAAGACCCTTTAGTTTGATGCATGTTCATTGCATTCACCAGAATGGAACACAAAACATTAGGTTGTGTAAAGCACATGTTAGTACAATATGAACACAATATGTACACACCTTAACTTATACAAATGAACACTACAAAGTATATAACGCTGCTACAGAATCTGGTGAGTTCCTGCCACTGCCCATTGATCCCTCCAGGGAGAAAACAGAAGGGAGAAGTGATACATGTGAAAGCAGTTCGGCGCTTTCCCGTTCCCCTCATCCCTTCCACCGCCCTCGGGGCTCTCCCGGGTTTGCATCCCTTTTTCCCCGCGTGATCAAACAGCGGGTCCCCCCTTGCCGGTACCGGCTGAACCTGCAGAACCGGCTGAACCCACCGAACCCACCGCCGCCTCCCCGGTGCTTTGGGGTGCGCTCAGCGCGGGGCAGAGCCGCGGAGGGACTGTCACCCTGCTGCTCCTGTCCCTCCGGCTCTGCCCTCCCGCGCTGTCCCTGTCCCCCTTCTTTGTCCTCCCTCTCTGTCCCTATCCCCCCGCCCCGTCCCCCTGCTTTGTTCCCTGTCCCCCCCCTCTGTCCCTGTCCCTCACTCTGTCCCTGTCCCCCCCCTCTGTCCCTGTCCCCCCCCTCTGTCCCTGTCCCCGTCACTCTGTCCCTGTCCCCCCCCTCTGTCCCTGTCCCTCACTCTGTCCCTGTCCCTCACTCTGTCCCTGTCCCCCCCC